ACGCTGGGCGCTTGTTTACCGCTGGTGTTTGTAAGCTAGGCCCCCTCCAAAGAAAAGAGGTGCGTGCGGCTGCGCTCCCCGTGCTTTAGTGTCTCCCGTTGCCGGTGAAGGCGTTGTCTGGTGAGCTCGGATCTCGCCTGGCCTCACCAACAGCGTGAAGTTCCCTGGGCAGGAGCACGGGAGTTCCCCGGCTGAGGGAAGAGCGCAGAGGGGGTGTATTCCTTACTAAACTAAAGGGAAGCCTTAGCAATAGGCCAGTTGTATAGAAATGTTTTTCAGAGAAAATGCATACCTAGAAAATGGGCTCTGCTGAAGAGTGCATGTGTAAATAACTTGCTTCAAAGTTACGTGAGAATCTCTTGACAGGAGGCCTTTCCTAATGTTCTCCTATCTTGACATCTGTTAGTTTTCCCACCCTTCAACACTGAGGGATTCTTTTGTTTTCTTCAATTAATGTGACAAAAATGCAGTCACCTCTGAGGTGAAAAGATATTAGACTGTAAAACACATTCAGCTTTCTGAAAAGTGCTGTAGGATCTTGATGTGCATGCAGTGGGCAGTTGATGTCCTTCACATCTCAAAAAAAAAAATCAGCAAGATGTAAACAATTTAAGCGGTGTGTTCTGTCATGTACTGTGTTACAGTACTGAAGACTTGAGCTCAAGAAGTTTTCACTCAGTTTTTCAAGCACTCAAAAATTAAACTGGTTTAGTAGCTTAAGTTATTCAGTTTGATCATGCCTGTACTTAAACATAGGTTCCTAAGAACAGGGCACTGTATTTGTGAGAGGTCACTATAAATGGTATTGAGAAGTCTAACATTGTGTTCAGAATAACATGACAAAAGCCAGAAATCACTAATGTAAATTAATACACAAATTATGCAAGCACATAGTTTGTGTGTATGTGTGCAAGCATGTAGTTTGAGCATCTGAAACTTGAAAAAACTTCATGCTGAATCTGAAACTTGAAAATCTTCATGCTGAATCTGAAACTTGAAAGTCAAATTTTAGCTCTCATAAATTATTAGAATACAGTAAGATTTACCTAAAACGTGAGCATTAGTTGTGTGCATGTATTCAGAGCATACTGTAACAATGTCTTCTGGTGAATATTGAAATTTATAAGCAGGGTTTGTGTACACAGCTGATATACAAATATCATGCATGCAACTTTTTAATGCGGCATTGTTTAATACTGAAAAGTGTATGTTCACATATGTCTTTGGAAGATATTAATTTTGCTTGGTTTTCCTTTTACTAGAGTGACAAACAACTGAAAATGTCATCCTATTTGGCTGAGGAGGTTCACCTTGCTAGAAGACATGAAGAGATGTAAGTAATTGTTTCTGCACTGTGCCCTGTCTCCCAGCAGCTTGTGTTGTGGTCTTGCGAGACCTCCCTCACTGCACATGACCGTCCTGTGAACAGTGAATCTGAGCTCTGCACAGAGCACAGCGGTGTTTCAACAAGGGGTTAGTGTTCCAGGAGGTGGCACTCTTCCTTCATGAACTATTGGAATTCACATACTTGATTGTCGTTAAGGGCATTTAGGTTGATGAGGTTTTTGACTTCCAGTGGCTGTGCTGGTTTGAGATCTCCATTGTTAACCTCCTGTCACCATTAAATTCCTATTTGGGGAAGGTAATTAGATTCTCTCACTTTATGCCTCAATTATAGAATTGCTGCTTTGTTGCCCTGTAAACTCAGATTGTGAAGCAAATACAGTAACGATTCAGAAAAATCTGCTTTTTGTATAACAACTAGTACTTGCCAATGAGCAAGAGTAGTACTGATCAAGTCACCCCAACCCACCCTGTCTTTCCAGTTCTGGGAGATTCAGTGCTTCTAAGCACCTTAGCATATGAGGGCTGCTGGTTACAACATTATAGCTTCATACAAGCACAGCAGGTGGTGTCTGCCTATACCTTTTCCCTCCCCCAGCACACCCACCCTACAGCCGGTTTAATTAGCCCCATAGTTTTGAGAAAACTGGGTAAGGTAAAAAGGTTATTTTCTAGCTCCTGAGCAAAATGTTCTGCCCACTTAGCAAAATGTTTTCCTTTGTAGACTGTCTCAGAGATCAGAGCTTCTACAGCAGATGGAGACTTATCTAAGAGACAAAAAGACTAAAACGACATGGCAAACTGAAGCAGCTGATGCAGCTCGTAAAAGGAATGCAGCACTTTTAAATGTAAGTTTCTGCAACTACCAGGAACCACATTGAAATGTCATGGTTATGTAGTTTAGAGAATTGGAAAAAAAAGGGTTTGCTTTGTAGTTATCATTTTAATTTTTCTATATACAGTTTCCTCTTCTGGAGCGCAACCAAAAGTATTAAATAACAACTCTTTATTATCTGATGGCATCACTACCTGTTTCCCCTGCCCTTCTTATATGAGCCTCGTGGTGGCAGCTGCTGCTACTACATTTTTTTTTTTTTTAATGTGCACTTAGAGATGCACCACATGCTATTACATGTCTGCCTAAGAAAACTCTGACAATTCTTAGCACCTCTACACTTTGATTCAAGATACAAGGGTATGTTTGGAAGTAGGGGCTGACCAACCTATAATGCTTTTAGTCCAGGGTTGGAACTATTCTCCCACTATGGTCATGTGACATTGTGGAAGTTCTCAGTTTAAAGTTTTTCTGAAAAGAGGTGTAGAGTGACTTCAAGAATCTTACTTGCAAGTCTGTAAAAGCAGTGTTTGGTGTTTCTGGCTCTTCCTAGTGGGGGTACTGTTAATAACGTTAATAGCTGTTCTATATACCTGTTGTCATATTGAGGTAAGATTTGTGTTTCCTAGGTAAATTCAGCAGACGTTTGAGAATGGGCAATTAAAAAGATCTAGGTTTGATGGCAGGGACTGGAACACTAAAACCTCTTCTGGACCGCCTAGTTCAGGCATCTGAGTTTGAAGAGATTGCACTTGACCACTGGCATGAGAATGCATTTGAAAAATGTTTGTCTGTTGTTCAGGAAACAGCAGAAGACCATATCTCTTGTGGATTTTCTTTAAACTTGCTTATTAAGGGTCCATATCACATGTATTGTGTTTATTGAAATAATAAGTTTTACTCTAGAAAATTACAAGATTAATTTGTGTCACCAGAAATTTTTTTTTCTTCATGCAGATCGTAGTTAAGATTTAGAATGTTCACATTTTGGGTGGCTATAATTCTATTGCAGGCTCTCTTTGTATGTAAATGGAAGTTATATTTAGGGAGTGGCAGACAAAGCAGAACAATCAGGGATGCCTTCTTAACTGTTCTGTGACAAGGAAGATTTTTCAACTTGGACTCTGGTGAACTGGTGCATTCTGGGCTGGGGCGATGAAACCCCTTTGTAGTGCGTATAGATAAGTGTAGGTGCTTCAGTGGGGACCGGGGAGGAGTGGATGGTTTATTTTTTTCCATAGTTCATGCTCCATTGATTTAGTAATTACAGCCATTATGACTCCCATTTTCTATATGCATTTTATAATATATTTTTATTTCATATAGTTTTTAATAAATTATTTATATTTTATGAATGCATTCTCAGTTAACATATACAGGCAAACATATTAAATGCAGGGTATATTTCTGCATGCTGAAAGCTTGTTGTATTGCAAATGTTAACAATAGCTCAGACATATACAGAGTGTAAATATTTTTGCAGTTAAGCAGATATTTGCCATCTTCTGTCACATCCTCAAAATTGTTCCTTTCAAGTGTCAAAAATGTTGGTGTTTGTACGGAAAAAAAGCAAAAACATATGTATCAAAACAAATTCTGTTGCAGGATAAAGTAGCATAAATCAGTTTAAATCTATTAATTTTATACTAGTTTTAACAGGCATGCACTCCTGCAGATGCTTTCTGATAACAGAAGAAAACAGGAAAAAAAAATCTCTGCAGAATAATATATGAGAAGCTTGAAAACAAGACTGATTAATGTGCCAGCTTCAGAATATTGTTCCTGATACCAGGCACTGTACATTTCACAGTTACCATGTGGAGAGTTGTTGATTTGGCCTACTCAAAAATACATGGACATGATGAAGTGTTATTTTTTTATTTGCATTTCTGGTTTTCTGCATGTAAGCAAAATCATTTGTTTTCAGTATGTGATCATAGCAAAAGGCATTTTTCTTTCTCTGTGCTAGTTGATATTTATGCACAGGAAAACATTTCAAAATTAATTTATTTTCTACTCAGTAGGAAGCAAGGAACTAAACATTATTTTTTTAATTGACATTTTCACATTATAAGCACTTGTTCAGCATTTTAACATAATTATCAGGGTGTTTCCCTTGATGTCTTTAGAGGGAGACTGCAGATTAGGGAAATCCGTATCATTTGGTACTTGCATAATGTTGTCGTAATTAAAGCAGAAATTAGACAGGTATTTGTAATTTAATTTATGACATTTGTCAGTAATATTTCTTGTGTTTAGAAATATGTATTATTGTGCAACAGCTTATAACATGAAATAGAAGATAAAGAATATGTTATTTAGTAGTTAGTATTAGTGAGGTAATTTAGACCAAATTGGCTTTCCTTCACAGGCATGTAATTCTAGAATTGTTTAAGTGGAATTCTGCCAGACTGATATCAATATAAGTGACAGCTGAATTTGGTCCCCTAAAAGCGATGCATGTGTCATGCGTTCCATTTTACCTCTGGGGAAGGGTCTTGAATTGTTTTTGTTCCAGTCCTTGTGGGTTTAGGGGAAGGATTGTAAGATGCTCTCTTTTTTTCAGTACTGTGACATACTAGATTTGGTGGTTTTTCAAAAGAAGTTTACACTGCTGACGTATTTATTTTTGTGTTGATTACGAGGATTTATTTTTCTCATACAGTTTACCAGTTGTATAGACACACAAGAAGTGCCATCTAATCTTTTCAGTATTTCCAGTTATTTTCTAAAGCATACTACACCTTCCAGCAAAAATTTCTTTCACTGTCTGTCATTAAATCAGTATTCTGAATGACAATAGACTGCACAACATACAAACTAGAGTGAGCAACGAAAAGACATATCTAATATCTAGGCTATGCCAAAGTGACCTTCTCTACTAAACATATATGCACAACTACTGTCTCCTTTCTTGCCTGAAAGACATTCATTTCCTATCACCGTAAACATTCCAATGATTTAGCTGAGTATATAAAGCAATAATAATCTTGACTGATAGTCTTCCTTCCTGTGAAAATTACTACAGGAATTGTGAAGAAGGAACCAGAAAAGAGGAAAATGCTGTGGAGGAATATAAAAAGAACGTTGCTGATTTGTACTTCTTTTCAGTATGGTGATAACTTCTCTGGGCTTAAGTCAGAGCCATACTGATACGAGCTTCATTTGGTGCTATTTGTGGTGTATCTGTTCTAAGTACTGTTATTTTGACATTGTGACTTCAAATGGCTTCCATCTTTGCCCATATTCCCCCCCTTATGTTTTTTCCCTGTTAGACTTTTCTCACCTGAAAAGGGGCAGCCACCTGCTACTTCTGAGGATTTGGATAAATCTGAGACTTAGTTTGCTCTTTCTCAGACATCCTTTAGCTTCCTACAAGGCTATGCACTTTGCTGTAGAAAAGGGAGAACAGTTTTTGCTTGGATTTAGTTTGTACTTATGTAAAAGAGAATACAGTCATGCTGTAAAAGGAATTAATGAAATAGAATAAGATGAACACTGTAAATTGAATTAACTGAATGTATCTGTAGCACTAAGTTGAACTTCAACTAACAGTAGGGCTTTTTTTTGCTTTTATTAATCATACTCTACTGAATTTGAGTCATATTTTTCAAACTAAACTGGAGCTGAGCACTGTTTACTTATTGATGTATTCAGATTGGCTATTATTCAATACGAGTAATCATGTTTGGTCTCTCTTGTGGATATGCTCCTCCAGAATCTCACTCTTCTTTTCAGCGGCAGTGGTGGTGAATATTTGGGAAGTCCCTTTGGGGAATTTCCTCTCTCATTTAGTTTTTCTGTTGTACTCTTCACACCCGCTCTCTGCTCCCAACTCTGCCATCTGCTATACTTTCTTTCCCCCTCCACTCTGTTCAGCTTTGGCTTCTTCACACCCCACTCCCACGTCCCTTTCTGTCTCTCTTCATCTGCCCACTGCTCAATCTCTTCAATGTTTGGGTATGGAACTAAGCCCACAAGAATGGGTCAGAACTTTGAAGGGGGAGGGCGGTTAGTTTAGGGGGATGTTTTGATTTGCTTGCTGCTGTTGTTTTTTGGTTCTTGCTTTTTAAAAAAAAATATTTAGGCCTTTGTGAATCCAGCACACATCCCCTGGACAAGCAGAAACCCAAATACTGATTTTTTTGTAAGAAAGCTATGTGAGGTGCATTGTCATCCAAGTTTGTCTGGTGAACAGCTTGCTGCAGCTCTACATTTTTGTGCACATGTTATGCATGCATATTAGCAAGTCATCTTTGTCTTGAGGAGTAAAGATCTTGCACATAATTTGCCTAGTTACTTTACAGTTACAGTAGCTAGAATACATACTTCAGTCTTCATGCAGCACAGAGAAAACCATTCTGTTCCCCTCTATTTTCTTAAGTTTTATAGAACAAATTTAACTGTAATTTACCCTACTGTCCAGAGAGAATAAGTGTTTTACAGCAGCTGTCTTATGTTGTCATGAAATATATTCTTGTATCAAAAAGGTACAGCAAACGTGTTTAGAAACTGCAGGATGTTAGTCTTACGAGTACAAGGTAGATTTCAGAATGACTAAACAGAAAGATTTGAACTTCAGTGTTATTATTTGAATGCTGTTTAGCTGTAATGAGTTAATTGAATTAAATGTCTTTATGTGAGTGTGCGTTTTCCTTTTAATATTCCCAGTGTTTCTTTTTAAAATGTACTTTGCCTGTGTTGTAGGATATAGAAGCAGCAGAAAAAAAGCTGCAAGAAAGAATGCATTTACTTCCACATCCCGATACTGTTAAGTTAGAAGTAAGTCCTAGAACTCTGTCTTTTCATTTACTGTTTACAAAATATTTTGCTTTTTTTCTCCCTCAAGCATGTTCTTAAAGTGAAAATAATTGATTTTAAAATCCAGTGACTGGTATAGCCAAAGGCCTGTGTACTGTGTAGCAAGCTGAACCTAAATTCTGGGGCAAGGTCCCTAGATTCTGGAGCATTCTGGTGGAAATATTTAGCAGCTTTCAGATCTATACAAACTTCTATTTAAAAGTGAAGTCAAATATAAAAATGACTATTGTGAATATCAGAAGATTACTGTGTTTATTATGTCAGAGATATCTAGTTTGTTTTATATGGTTATCTCCTTTTCAATTTGCCACAGATTGTCATCTTTACATTTCAGGGTCAAGAGTTTATCAGCATGAATACAGAAATTTTCACTTTTCAGGGTTATTTGATGGTTGTATGGGAGCTTAAGAAAAGTACTGCTACAGCAGGAACACTCAATTTTTACTTCTCAACCTGTAGTCCCTAAAATGTTATTTAAAGATAAAGATTTTGAAGAGCAAGTTGCTCTGAGAATTAAATATTATCCTGTTACAACATAATAAGTTCAGTTCCCTAGTCTCAAGACTCTTTTATCACTATTATGCAGTGGTGAATGAATGATGATTACAGAAACAGTCCTGGGACAGGAATTGGAGCACAGCTCTTTCTGATGAAAAGTAAACATCTTAACCACGAGGCCACTGAGTCAGATTCCCACTTGTGTTTCTTGCACCAGTTGTTTGTGGGTTCTTTGTTGTATGGTGGCCGTTTCCACAGACATAGTAGCACGGAGTGTCCCACACTAGTTTGTGTGCTAGGGCACTGTCAAAGGAATGGAAAGGTATAGAGTTTAGCGCTGTCAGCCTGTGAAGAGAGGGGTATTGTACGGTGGTTTCACACCTGCTGGGCAAGTGTTGTAATGCTTAGGCTATTACATAACTGAGAGGTATCACTTCTTGTTCTGGTTACTGTTAAAAGTTTTTGTCTGTCATGGCATTTTGTAAATAGCCTACTGCTATCACTGTGACAGCATGCACACTGAGTATGCCCATTCAGTGATGTATTAAAAAAAAAAAAATAGAGATTTTTAGGGGGAAAGGGTACCTTTTTTCCCTAGATACCTGTACATCTTGAATTATGCTAAGAAAGGAACCAAGCTACTAGTATTGAACCTATTTTGACTGTGTTCAGAAGTAGTTTTAGACACCTCAAGGACTTTCAAGGCACCTCTAGAGTTGTTTGGATAAGTTTTGAACTGCTTCTCCCTCCGTCCTGTGTTAGGTGTTAAACAGCTTGCAGCACGTAGATTGAAGTCCGGACAAACTGGAGAATGCAGAGCAATTGCTTATGCCTGCAGAGATGTCTACACTCTGCAGCAGCGGTTGAATTTTAGAGAGAAGAGAGTTACTATTTGAAGGAGAAGATCCTATTTCAGCCTTTTTTATAGTTCTAGAGAAGAGTGCTATAAATAGTGGAAAAAGAAAACTTTTTTTCATGGTACAAAATTTTTGTGCATGCTTTGTTCCAAAACACTTCTGAGCATATTTCACTCAGCCATGTATGTGTCTGTATTAATATACTTTGAAAGTTATGGCTATAATGGATCCCCAGCTTGCTAAGTTGGAGTAGTTTTGTGTGACAGCACATATGCTTGTCAAAAAAGATTTTTTGAGTAAATCTGTTGAAGAAAATATTTTTGTAAATCTGCAAGAGCCATAGTTATATCTGAGTTATGTGTAAGGATCAAAATGATTAGCCAGAAATCTAATACTCTGCAGAGAGATGTTCAGTTTTGTGGTACACTTCTTCTACATTATATGCTTAAATAAGTAAAGAAAAAAAAGGCTTAATATATATGCACCAAAAACATTATTTTCTGAATGGACATCAATGTCTAAAAATACTTACATTGGTAAGATAAAAGTGTTGGCTTAATACAGCTCTTTGATTACATTTAGTGGAAAAAAACAAAAAGGTACATGGCACTTAAATTTTTCTTCAAAATCCTACAAACAATAAAGTTATCCTTAGGATACCAGCACAAAAATGATAAATTGTATGTCGGCTCTACAGATAAAAAAGAAGTTGAATTTGTTATTCAGAGGCACAGGGTAATGCAGAGAAAGGGTCAGATTAATCCACAGTGATATACAGGTTTTTATTGTTTGTGATCCAAATACTGGGGCCAATTATTTTGTCGGTGATGTATCACATCTAAAATTTTACTCGAATATTTTGAACTACATTACTGCAAACTTTTCTAGGATAACCAATTTACATAGCACTTTTCATTTATAACACTAAACAATTTTTTTCCACTTCAAATTCCACTAACATATGTTCTTAAATATAAAAGCTGCTTTTGGAAAAGTTTACTATCACAGAAAATATTTTATTAAAGGTACTGTGAGGGTCTAAACTAATCTGTTGCTTACCACAAGAGGGCACATTCAGTCACTTCACAGTTAATGCTGCAGAACCAAATCTTTCCAGGCTGGTATTTTGTATCATACACGAGATTTGAAATTTCATGTGTAAGTATGTTGTTGTTTTCTGAATTGCTTCACTCATAAGACAAGATTTAATAATGCATTGCTTAGCTATATTGTTTTTAAACAGGCTGACATGGATTTTGAAATTAAGTTTATTTTTTCTTATATCTTTCTCAGACTTTCTATTGGGCATCAGTAAAAGAATCTCTTCCCAAGTGGGAACAGTTTCTTTTAGGAAGAGCAGAAGTTCCTATTGGTTTTAAGAAAACGAAAACTACAAAACAGAACATAAGCTACGCAGAAGATTCACAAAAATAAACACTCTAGTTTCATTTTCTTTTGTAATTTGTGGCTTTATTGACAAGATCAACTAGATCAGGCAACAGAATATCATGCCATTAAATTGCAGTGTCAATAATTTAAATGAAAATGGACTATATTGGATAATTTGCTTCCATTGTTGCATTGTGTACAATTCTTTATTTTTGTTCTGTATTAGAGAAGCAATCCTCAAAGGGCCTTTTAGGATCAAAAGTGAGAAACACTGGTGTGTAGAAACCCACCAAGGCAATTGCTTTTTTGGTATGAGAAGACTTTTAGGTTATTTTTAGTCCTCTGCTTCTACATATAAGCGCAATAGGTAAAGACAGACTCAGGCATTATCTTTCTTTGCTGTAGTCATCTGTTCAGTGTGCCTCTCTGTGGATGAAGGAGAAAGGAGAAATTCACTGTTAACAGGAAAGGCAGGCTGTTTGTGTCACACAGTAGCCTTGGTTTAGTACCAGGAACCTGTGTAAAAACCTTCATAAGAGCAGTTGTAGAAGGAACACCTTGAATCTCTGCCACTTGTTTTCCCTGATTTTTGTCATTGCCCCTTTCATTGCTTCTATGCCTCACTCCAGTACTGCTGCTTTTCCCAGCCTCCTGCTGCCTACTTTGTATTCCCTGTCTAATGGATGGGTAAAGACAAGAAAAAGTAAACAAATCTCTAGGGTTTTTTGCTACTTCTAGGCTGCTCTTAATGCTGTTTTCTTCATGTTGACATAATCTACAAGTGAGAACTTTTGCTTAGGCGTGAAAAGTTTGAAAGAAGCCAACTGAAAGGTAGCTGTCAGTGGCTGTCCAAGAACCCAGCATATATAGAAGTTGAGGAGAAAGTATTTTCATTCTCAGCCATTGAACAGCTCCTTAGCTTCCTCCTACAGAGGTGCAATATCAGTGAATTTTGATTGTACAGTGGGCTAACTCAGTATGAAAATGTCACTGCTCTAGTGCAGGGCTTTTTAAAGTATCACTTCAGTGGAAGATCTTTCTGGGTGTGTGACTTGGCCTGTAGAAATTTTGTCCTTCCTAAGCAAAGGAAGCCTAGAAAAAAAATCCTTTGTTAAAATTAAGAACCTGGACTTGATTCAATATATTGTTAAAATTTAATTTCGTATGTAACAGCATACTTTCACTCCTGACTTGAAAGTAGGAGAAAATATTTTACTTCTGCCAGTGTTTGAGGATATGAAATTGTAATAATTACAAATTTTGCTAGGCTACTAGGGAACTGATCTATGCATCTCCATGCTATGTATATTTTTGTTTTAATAGTAGAGATGTTTTAATGGTTTTTATTGAAACTGAGGTACTTTTTAGCAACATTTCTCATAAATTTCCGGACCGCTTTGGATCTGTGCACTGAAAAGCTTGTGTTCATTTAGTTAATTAAACATAGTTAAGTTATTCAGTGATTAGCTGTTCATGGGGAGTTTATGGTGCAGTCAGAACTAGATAACTGACTTCTAGCTGAAAACCATAGGAAGTCCGGGTAGTCTTTAAGGACCAACGTCTGCAGACACTGTTCTCCGTGAAAATAGGCACTCAATTTTGTCTGAATTTAAATTAGCTGAAGAATCACCAACACAATAAAATCAAAACTTCAGCTGCTGTATAAAATTGTTGTGTGTTTTCTACGGGGATATTAAGAGTTCATTTAAAACTTTTTCTGTTGAAGTGTCCATTAAACTGATAAGTTTTTACAGAAACTGCCATCTTAGAAATATCCTGTTGAGTGGGTGTTGGTGTTTGTAACAATAACGTTGTTTTCATAATATGTGATGGCAGATTAGCACGCTTCTCTGCAGTGTTGTTAACAGTTGTAATTAAGGAATAAACAGTAAAGGGTGTCAGTCCGATGACAATTTCATCTATAGTGTCACAATACAAAATGTCACAAAATATTAGAACTGTTATATAACTACAAAAATATCAAATTAGGCTTTCATCTTACAAGCAGAGGGTATAAAAAAAAAAAAAAAAAAAAGAAAACCTGGCATAGAGACCATTGCAATTTTATACCTACTCAGTGTTCTGTCACAAAGACAACTTGGTAATATTTTCTTTTGTAAGATCACAATGTGGTTCTCAATCTTGATTTAGGGGGAATGTGTATAGATCTTGGAATTGTAGAGCTCACATTTAAGAAGCAAATAATTGGAACCAGTTGAGCAGACGAGAAGGGAAAAGCCATTACACATGATGCCCAGAATGAAGGGATGGGTGAGCAGTTAGTTGCTAACAAAGACTAGGATTCATCCTGGTCTTTGCATCCAAAAGGAAATCTCTTAAACTAAAATCTGGGCCCCTAAGTACTTTATACATGTGAATAATCTGGGTCTTTATCTCTTTGGACTCCACCTAAATACTGGGCCACAGTGCAGGTGCTCAATATGGCCTTGCCCCTTTTGATTTCCTGTGGAAGGAAGACAAAGATTGTGGGACTGAGGACATGACAGCTGGATGGGTCAGGATTTTTTAGCGTCCTGTGAAAGGCACCTGCAAACAGTGTTAGTGTAGTTTCTGTGCTTCAGATAGCGCATTTCTGATTATTTTGTTGTTGTTACTGGGCAAAGAGATTAAGATTAAAATGAAATTGTCTTCTTTTCAAAGAAGGAAATTACTTTTTTTTTTTTTTTCTGCAGCATAGCTTTAGAAGCAATAGGACAACTAGTACATGGAAAACTCTATAGGAACATGTCCAGAAAAGGAAAATATGAAGAGAAACATTTAAAGCCGGAATGTGTATAGGTGACTGCCCTCAGAGACAAGGGCCTTCATGTTCGCCTGTGGTCTGATATAAGTAAATGCAACTGCCTATGACTGTGAAACAGCCCAGCAGGAGGGGCAGGGAGGCACACAGCAGGGCCATTAAGGTACAGGAGCGAGTGTTGCCTGATTTGGCACAGACTGGGGGCAAGCAGCGGCAGGGAACATAATTACATGGTATCTCCTGATACACTTAGATTTGTTGAGTGCACAGCTTAGTTTACTCTGGCTGAGCTAGCTTGCCACTTGCCTTTCTATAGATACAAATTTGAGAAAGCAGATGTTACTTAGACTGAAGTGTGCTTAAAAAAAAGAAATAAAAAATCCCCAAAACTGATTAGTACTGATATAGTTTAATATCAGCTTTAAATGAGATCTTGAATACGTATTTTTCACCAGGTCAACGTTACTTCAAACGTATTGATTCTATGTAGTTATAGCCCATCTTATCCCAAGATTTTATGTACATATATACATATAAAATTTTTATACA